TATAATCGTATATTTATGTGAAAATTCATTATAAATACGGAGAGTGTGAAGCTGAGACTATGCGTCGTCGCCGTCGGTCACTGCAATTAAACATTTCAAAAAGCACAATGCCGCGGATTTTAACAATGCATCTGCATCCATTCAAGATTCAGCTAACCCAGGAATTGAAACCAGACAACCAGTTAATACACCGGATTCGTTGATGGACGGGTAATTTTGCTAAGAAAATCATCTTGAGCAACGAAGCGCGTTTCCATCTTCATGGTTATGTGAACAAGCAAAACTGTCGAATTTGGGGCAAAGACAATCTTTCAAGGACGACCACTGGTATACCCAAAGAGTGACAGTTTGATGTGGGTTTTACGGTGGTATGGTGGGGTGATTGGTCTGTTATTTTTTTAAATTGAGGCTGGAAACGCACTTTGTTTCTTGGTTAACAACTAACGTCTTAAATTCTTCTTGGTTAAATATGGTCGATCTCCATGATAAATCGACAGACCTAATAATTGAGTTAAATCAACAATCGGATTAGACCAAATGGCATTTGTTATTTCATTAATTTAAATATAATTGTCACAGCAGAAGAACAGAAGCATCAATTTGGCATAATTTTATGAAATTTTGTGCTATTTTGTGGACATATTTAAAGATGACGACGAAGAATTAATTCAATTTATTAATGATCCGCGGGTGTATACATTTAAATAAATATCTGGAGAATTTTTTAACATATTTCGACTAAGGAAAATGACTGTTAATAGAGTTTTATAAGAAAGTCAACATTTGATACAACTTCTTGATTTTCAATATTAATCGGTAATTATAAGAAATTATGTTCAAAACAGAGTCAAAATGTCAAAACATCGCAACGCACATTGAAGATTGAGGTTAGAAATCTCTTGTTAGAGCTCCAAAATTATATTAATTTAATTATATTAAAGTTTTATTTCTTGGTTTCTATTCTATCTCATTTTATTACATTGTAAACAGATCTATCTCTCTTATAGTTTTATTTATGAGCCTACCTTTGCAAATGTTTCTAGTCCGACTTAATGATACATTAAACATAATGTTCTAATAAATGCAGAAGTAGATTTTTATTAGACGATTATTCTTTTATCGGCATTAATTAATGCCTAGTTTTAGTCAGGACAAAAAATTGGTTGTTAAACAACAACAAATATCTTTCTGGCACAAAAAGTCTTTGACACTTTTACATAACATGTTGTATTATGTAAAAAGGTATTCCATTTAAATACGTAGATTAATTAATCAATCAGTCAATTCCTATAATTATTATTGTTATACGCTATTAAAACGACACCCCGTATGTTTATGTCTTATGTATATATTTATATTCATCAAGGGCGCTTTTATTAATGTACATATCAACAAAACATTTCATATTCAAATGATATTAATGTCCGTTAAGTTTTACGCCCCAATAGAGTTGGTCAGTTGGCAATGACATATTGTTACATTATGCAAAATAACAAGACATAAATGACTATTATGTCACAAACATACATACAAATCGATACGTGAGAACACTGTGATTTATGGATATTACTCACTAAACGTCTGCTGTCTTTTTCAGACTGAAACAATGGATAACTTTTCAGTACTTGTTATGCAGAGCCTTCATATATGATTACAAGTCACATGACCAGCAATTTTGTTTGGAACAGTAACTTTATTCCCTTCACGCTGTCAATTAAATTTCGGTAAAATTAAAAAGTATAGAAACAATATGATCAAGATTCCATTAAAACACAGTATTCTGTTTCTTAGATGACGGCCCAATAGTATTAGAGACTACTTCGATTTGAATTTTGAAAATTTGGGATACCGGGTTTTTGGGCATGTCTTTCTCAACTAAAATAATGACGTTCACGTACCACTTCCGGTTATACCGGAAATCGCCATCAACTTGCTTATTTTAAATGGAACACCCTATATATTATTGCAATTTTTAGGTGGACTTTTATGAAGTTTCCCTATTCCTAAAATTAACCGTTTTCGAGATATTTAATGTTTTTCAAAAAAATGGAGAGAAACAGTGACTAGCTTCAAACCATGTGTATTTTATAGTAAGAAAGACAAAGCAGCTAGCTAGACCCCTAAGCTTCCCATCCATAGTATCAAAGTGGCTTAATTGCATACAGGGTGCTAGAAATTTAATGCCGAGTTTAGTTAAATTCAAACCTTCATAAGTCGGTTTTTTTAAATAGAACACCCTGTATGTTTTTCTATATTCTGATACACAATTTTATTCCCTTTCGAATGGTATCAGGGTTCCCTATACCTATCTCTTCTAGTTCTTAAATTATCTACTATTTTTTGTGTAATCACCTAAAATCATGTAATTTCGTACGAGGATAGCTGTGGAATTTTTAGCAAAACTTCAAAATCAAAGGACCCCCTGCCCACCTTATGGGTTCTGGTTCCTGGCCAAATTTTCTGAAAACGCAGCATGTTGTACTGTTTAACCTTCCGATTAAAAGTCTCCATAAGATCTAGGTCTGACAGTCAATAGTTTCTGAGATACAAAGCTCGGAAGCATGGTCTTTTATCAAGATACAGCCATTCTCAAACTTTCACGGGGAAAAATGGGTTTGAGGGTGTGTAAGGATGGGTGTGTATGTAAAGGGGGTAGTAAGAGCGGGTGAATAGGGAGAGAAGGGAGTAGGGGTGAGAGGGGAGGTAGAGGGGTATGTTATGGAGGGAGTGAGAGGGGGATCTTGTTTACGATTAGTATATACGTAAGTGTAAATGCTTATGCACTAGTTTGACTCGCTATACAGGGTGTCTCATAATTAGCTGCCAACCCTGAACAGGCCGATTCTATGATCAAAACTAAGTAAAAAAGTTCATATGAACATGGGTCCGGAAATGCTTCCTAGGGGCACAGGGACCCATTGAAGAGGGAGGAATGGAAATCATTTTTTTGCAATATCTCTCAATCGCGTTGTGATAAATGAATGAAATTTGGTATACACAGCTAAATTTTGATGAGCAATTTGATGGACTAATCCATTTATTTCCATAAGGTCCATTGGGGTGGGTACGGGGGGCCCTTGGTACTTTGCATGTGTAACTTTTTCATCTTTGACTTTTTAACAAATTGGACAGCAAATTCCGTTTTCCCGAACTGTTTTACGTTAAAAAGGTACTCTTGTTTCAAATTGTTATCTTTAACGGTTTCTGAGAAAATCGCTCTTGAATTAATCCCACTTTGGTCAATTTCATAGTAATTTAAACAAAAAAATTTTTTTGTTTAAATTTAATGTAATTTTAATAAAAAAAATAATAATAAAAAATTAAATTAAATAAAAATTAATCCTTTACATGGAAAAGAGAGGAAAGGAAAATTATTATTATTATTTTTTGTTTAAATTACTATGAAATTGACCAAAGTGGGATTAATTCAAGACGTACATATATTTATATATTCGTCCTAATTATAAGCCGTAACACCTGTTCCCTCTCCCCTCTTCCCCTGGTTATCCTCAACACACACCTAATCTCACCTATCCCCGAAACCCATTTTTCCCTGCGGAATTTTGAGGATGACTATTTTTTGATTGGCAATGCTATAATGGCTAATACGAGATTTCGCAGATTTGCATCTCGAAAACTATTGACTTTCAGGCCTAGGTCCCATGGAGACTTTTGATCGGAAGGCCAAACAGTGCAACATACTGCGTTTTCAGAAAATTTGGCCGAGAACCAAAACCCATAAGGTGGGTGGGGGGTCCTTTGGTTACACCAGAATTACCGCTTTGGACATAACTATTTTGTACTAAAGGTGGTGGCACCACGAAAACTTAAACAGTTTTCACATATGCAGTAAAACAGTATTCATCCGTAAAAAGCACTGGCAAAATTCTACACGGGGCTGAAGATCATAGTTATTTAATGCCTGAACCCTTTCTACATGATAGGGGTGTAATAATTGTTCCCGTAGTACACGCCATACGGTAGTTATAGTTCTTCCGAAGTCAGTTGAATATGTATAAAAAACCGAGCAATCAAATTTAATGAGTTTCATGGGTCCCTATAAAAGTTTTCTGCTAAAGGTAGAAAATTATAATAATTTGTATATAATGCGTAGAAAATTTCTATTATATGTTCATTTTCAACAACATATTTTAATTATTTATGTCCTCAAACAATTTTAATATATTGATGGTAAATTTCGTTTTGTTCCATTTCAAAATGTCTACAAAATGCCATGTTGTAATACTATTAGTAAACCAAATATCCCTCTTATTTTTCCGTTTCGCAATTGTAATATGAATGAAGGGTGCCTATAATAAATTAAAATTATCTGAATCACACCAAATTCCACATTCCCGCACTGCACTGCTAGGCGACAACTCGACAACTGAATTTTGACAACGCAATGGACGAGAGAAACAGTGGGCATTGCTCTTTGACCGCATGCTCATTCTTCAACTGAGCGTATACATTTCTACCACCTGCACTTTTCATTCGACCAGATCTGTATATGGGTATGGGCTAAATAAATGTGGGAACAAGCTTTTCAAATATTTCAATGCCGAGTTGCTGCTTAGCGACCGAGCCTGGTACATACCTTGAAGATATTGGTTCTTCAATTGACTTCGGAAAAACTATACACCCACTTCTCGGCCAATGTCGCGAGTAATACTGCAACATACAATGCACGTGCACAAGATGCACAGGGTCCGCTTACAATTGTGGTTAATTTTCGTAATTAATTTTCTCGAAAATAGAAGCATTTAAACCTTCAGTTGCTTAATAAAAGCTGCTCATTTTCGTGCCCTCTGTCACACTTTTCAAGGAACGCTCTTTTTTCAAAAACATCCTGTAGACGTACATTTTCCATATATTTTCTTAGCATATACCTACCGAGTGATGCACTACGTCACGTCATATGCAGGCTATAGCATCTGTTGAAGACAAACGACTCAGTAGAATCCTCCAAACAAAACGTTAATGCTCTATTATTGTTTCAGCCTTTACATGATGGAAATCGACGGCGTTCTCCACTGGGCAGTGCCGGTCGGCGCGCTAAGGCAACCTCAACCCCTCAGCTTTTAGAAGCTCCCAGCTCAGAAAACAGGTGTGTATATATACCTACCTCAGTGGTCCTGATAATTCGCCCGAGTATAACTGAGTAGTTAACCATTTCCCGAATGTTTAGTTTACTACAGCGACCGCCTCATATAGCCTCACATCGGTAATTTGCTTAACTTGCCGTTTGTAAAGGTGACATAAAGGGACTGTAAAGTAGGCCCGCTCACACACACACATACTCACACACGGCACACAATTATCTTCATCTGTATGGGGTTTTGTTAGTTCGTTTGCAGACCTCGGGCTTTTCATCTTATTTTCCCCTATTAAACTAAACTGCGTATAACTAGAGTTGGTATGCATAATTACGGTTAGTGCTAATAAATAATGAGACAGACGGATGTAAAAGGATGTTTCTATGGAAACGTATATATATTAGGGACTACACGTTACCATATTACGCCCAGAGAATGTTTTTTCTAGTATCAAGCCAAGCCAGTGCATGCATGAGACTAAAAATTAGTTTAATTTTTTAAATGCATGGTATCTCAAAATTAGTTTGGTCGAGAGTTTGGTGCATTCTATAACTGAAGATAAAAAGAAAAGTTTCGTATGTACATAACATTCTGCCTCACTTATCTTTTTAACTTACTACTTTCGTACTTGGTAAGGCCATAGTTTTAGGAATTTTTTTTTATCTAAATAAAAAAAAAACAATTAAATACTGTATTTGGGAGACACAAACCAAGCTTTTATATGTTTCTGACAGAACATGGTGTAGATAGACCGTTTCCTTATTTGCACGGCGTGATAGGTCTATCTGTAGTAGGTATGGCTGAAAAAGTCAAAGTGTTGTTAGGGTACTTCTTTCACCATGTCTTCCTTATTATTAGTTAAACCTTATATTACTGTTATGTTAAGCAAACGCTTTATCTAAATATATAACGGTAAGAGTGTTCTATCAAAAAAATGTGTAACTTTGGTTTTTATCTCCCAATTGCAACATTTAATTTATTTTTCTAAATATAGTATTGAAGTCACAAGAAAATTTCCTGAGCTTTGACGAGTCATTTTTCTAAATATTTCCGAAACCAATTGAGATAAAATGAAGAAATTTAGAACCTCGTTTGGAACTGAGTATCGTTGTTATATTGGGATCTAATAATTAAAAACTAATAGTATATTTTGGTGTCCTTCTGGGACTGTGAACAAATATTGCTTCAACTTTTTCGTGGGTAGTGTTCTGCGGTTTGAATTAAAAAATTAAAAAATTTGAACAATTTTCCTGTGAAAATATGCTTTAGTATTATTTAACAAAGCTAAAACTGATTTAAAAATTGTTCCATGCAGAAAATACAGAGGAACGGAAAATCAACTGTGCAGTGCTGATATTACATAGAACTCATAAATTCTATTCTGTTATGATATAGGAAAAAAGTTGAATTCCTAAATAAGCATTTTTATTTAAACGATACTTCAAGGAAATTTTGAAATATCTTCATAACATTGTTTTTTAGCCTCCTCCTTCCTTTCGGCAATACTATATGTGACCTGTTACACATACCTAGCTTCTAAACTCAATTTTCAATTGTTCACATGATTTTCCAGACGAATATTGCGATAAACAAATCAGTTTTATTGAAAATTATTCCGTACTATTAGGAAGTGTTTTATGTAAAGTACAAATCATACAGGTACATCTTTTTACTGCGAAATTGTCTAAAATGTATAAATTTTAGTCATACAATTAATTACAAAATACTATGAAAAAACTAAGCCGAAATTTGGCCACAGTCCCCCAATCTGGAACGTCTCAGGCAAAAATTTAGAAATTATTTTTAAGTACTAGGTACATACAGGGAGGCCAAATGAAAACGAAACAGAGCCATTTTCAGGAACTGCGGCAAGATTGTAGAAAAACGCTCAGACCCGTCGATTTTAATTTAAAGGGGGACAATCTTCGCTGGTATTTTTGACTCCGCCACTTTCACCCGCAAGCAAGGGTAAGCATCACCCTAAAATATTTAAATGACATTGCAGGTTGAGTAATATTTCTTTTGAAAGCTCTTACAATTCTCTTTACAACAGACTTTAAATTTTATAATTCCGCCCAATATTTTGAAAAATAATTACATTTTAAAATTTAAATTATGTTTAGTTGCTTACTTACCACTTACTTGATTAAATGTTCAAACTAATGACCGCCCGCTTCCATACAAGAATAAAGATTTTGTTCGAAACGTTCGCGCACATTCCGAAGCATTTCCGGAGTGATTCGACGGCATTCGTCGACGATTCTTTGACGCAAATCTTCCAGCGACGCTGGCTGTGTTTTATAGATTTTACTTTTTAGGTATCCCCACAAAAAGAAATCAAGGGGCGATAAATCCGGTGATCGTGGAGGCCACTCAATGCTGCCTCTTCTCCCAATCCAATTCCGTAGAAAACGTTGGTCCAAATACTGACGGACAATTAACGCATAATGCGGAGGAGCACCGTCCTGTTGAAAAATCAAATGATCTTCATCATACTCTGGAACATTTTCAATAATATCAGTCAAGGCAGGGTCAATAGCGTCTTCCAGTAATTGCAAATACATTTGGCCAGTCAAATTACCAGGTAGAAAAAAAGGACCCACCAGCCGGTCACCGAAAATTCCAGCCCATACATTTAATTTTTCCGGTTGCTGTGTATGCACCTCGTGAAAAACTCTTGGGTTTGAATCGGACCAATAGCGGCAATTGTGACGATTTACCGTCCCGTTCAAGAAAAAACTGCATTCATCAGAAAAACAGATGTTAAAAAGGAACTGTGGATCGTTCCCTGCTCGCTCACTCATTATTTCGCAAAATTGCAAACGGCGGTCATAATCATCCTCATGAAGTTCCTGGACTAAATGTATTTTGTATGGATGGAATTTATTCTTCTTCAAAATGGTTTGTATGCTAGTTCGATTGATCCCAGACACAGATGCCAGCTGCCTCGTACTTAATGTAGGATCAAGATGAACTTGTCCCAAAACTGCAACTTCACTAGCTTCATTAACTATAGGTTTTTCAATTTCTCGTTTTTTATTGGCTACGTTCCCTGTCTCTTGAAATTTTTTTACTAACTCTAGAACATACTTCCTCCTGACATGTCGATCTTGATGTTGTTCATTAAATAGCTGAGCTGTTCTATTCGCACATTTATTGTTCATAAAGTAAAGCGAAATGATATCTACCCTTTCCGCAATGGAATAAACCATAGTGTTTAATTTTCAAAAACACAATTAAATAAACTACCAACCAACGCTTCCAAATAATACTAGAAAATAATTTGGAATCCACTAATTTTACGTTCATTGTGTGTGTATAGCATTCATTTCTGTTTTTTACAATTGTGTTTTTTTTACGAAAGTGATAACAAATCGCCAAAAACCAATGTAACGCAAGAAATACTAAATTTATACCATTGGCGTACTTAACTCGAATGACTGACATTTTTACCGTTACTAATTGTTTGTACATAAGTTTCAACTTTAAAATCAAAATTCTTAATAAGTATTGGGCGGAATTATAAAATTTAAAGTCTGTTGTAAAGAGAATTGTAAGAGCTTTCAAAAGAAATATTACTCAACCCCCAATGCCATTTAAATATTTTGGGGTGATGCTTACCCTTGCTTGGGGGTGAAAGTGACGGAGTTAAAAATACCACCAAAGAATGTCTCCGTTCAATCCAAAATCGAGCGTTTTTCTACAATCTTGACGCAGTTCCTGAAAATGGCTCTATTTCGTTTTCATTTGGCCACCCTGTATATTCCAAATCTAATAGTGATATGAATTAATTATGTAGAATCTGAAAATACGTCAGAATTTTTAAAATAATAATGAATTATATACAAAATTCTGGGTAATTTTATTAATTTAACATATCTAGAAGTAAAAGTGTTGGAAATTAAATGATAATGAATAACTTCAAATTATTTTGTAATTATTGAAATTCTATAACTTGATACTTTTTAAATCTTCAGACATGCATAAAGAAACTTGTGCATATGTGAGTATTTCCAAAGGATGTTAAACTTATTATTTAGCATAACATATTTAGAGCAAAATGTCTAGACGTCATATGAGGTAGCATATAATACTTTGAAAAGAAGTAATAATACATATATGTTTTGCTCTTTGCAAGAGACACTTTAGACAGGAAATTTTTCCAAACGATGAATAAGGTCATTCCCTTGCTGTTAATATATCTTTTTTGTTCATATTTGTTCTATTTTCAGGACGTAAAACTCGCACCTTACTAACAACACTATATTTATTGGTAAAAGCCGCAAACATACTATATGGTTTCACAGATAAACGGTGATTCTTATGCTAGTTGAGAATCCTAAAAACTGCTTTAAAAACTTCGTGGTATTCGCAAAGAATAACGGCGTGTTTTAATCATACATAACAATATTATTTACGTAAAATATTTAACACACAATTCATAATTTTTTGTGATTAATCTTGTATAAATAAAAAGTCAATGTTAACATTTTTTTAAACGAATTCCAAGTGCTCTGCTCTCCTTCAGAAATGTAATTTTCAACAGTTCAACAACTCAGAAAAGATTGAAGATACAGACTTCAGATTTTATACGAGGTTTGATCAAAAAGTAATGGGAATTGTTAAATTTTTTATCCCATTCCCTTCAAAGTGGTCACCCTGTGATATTATACACTTAGGCCAACGTAGTTCTCAAATTCACGTTATTTTTTTATCAAACCTCGTACATTGCAGTTCTGCATTTTTCTGTTCATAATTTGAAAATTTCGCAAGTGGCGTAAAAATTGGGAATTTATATTATAAAATAAAAACAATATACAGGGTGTCCCGTTGTTTCAAAAAAACTTGTGTGCTAGTTCCCCGTGGAAAAATAATAGGGGTAGTTCATGTAAAGTTTTTTTCTTAGACGCCCTCTTTTCAAGATACAATGTGTTGAAGTTGTTACTTTCCAAATGGTTTTCCTTAATTATCTTTAAATCGGCTAAAGATAAAAATGTCAAAATTTATACAC